GGCGGGTGCAGTCCCAGGGCCCAAGGAGCCGTTGAAGCGCTGATCCCGGGGAGTGCCTCCGGGACTGAAGAAACAATTCTCTCCTTTATTTTTTTCAGTTTTTTTTCCTTGTTTCTTCTCTGCTTCTTTCCTCTTCCGACACTTTCTCTTCCCTGCTTGTATAGCTACAATTACATGATAATGAACATTTCAAAACATGCCATATTCCACCCATTTTATGGGCCTCGGTTATCCTCAGGAGATGCCCCACCACCCTGGCAGTCTGCTTTGCTGCTTCCTCCCCTCCTCACAGCCATCCTCCTACCCACACCTAGTTCCACGTAATTCACCTAAATTACCACTCTAGCCACGTATTTTTGTAACACCTTTAATGACTTGTATTTACACTAAAATTTTGGCATGTGATTTTAAAAGCCTAGAACGCAGGGAGTAACTATTTCCATGGTATTCAGAGACGAGGGTGAATACCACCAGCACAGCACCCTCAGCTAGCTCAGTAGCTAAATAAATGAATGGCCTTATTCAAAAGCGCTGCGCATCCAGTGCTCTACAAAGTCAAACAAAAGTATGCTAACCCAACTGCTTTTGTAGCAAGTGGAATAATTTACCCAGTGAGAAACAGGATGAATTAATAGCCCCTTTGAATAGAACTGAGTACAAAATCTTGGCATTCGAGTCAGTTCATTTATCTAGTGCACGCTGCTTCCTCCCCTCCTCACAGCCATCCTCCTACCCACACCTAGTTCCACGTAATTCACCTAAATTACCACTCTAGCCACGTATTTTTGTAACACCTTTAATGACTTGTATTTACACTAAAATTTTGGCATGTGATTTTAAAAGCCTAGAACGCAGGGAGTAACTATTTCCATGGTATTCAGAGACGAGGGTGAATACCACCAGCACAGCACCCTCAGCTAGCTCAGTAGCTAAATAAATGAATGGCCTTATTCAAAAGCGCTGCGCATCCAGTGCTCTACAAAGTCAAACAAAAGTATGCTAACCCAACTGCTTTTGTAGCAAGTGGAATAATTTACCCAGTGAGAAACAGGATGAATTAATAGCCCCTTTGAATAGAACTGAGTACAAAATCTTGGCATTCGAGTCAGTTCATTTATCTAGTGCACAATATGTATTTTAAATTCCTCTGAAGGCAGTTGTGTGCTCAGAGTATATGCCCTCTGGTGGGAAAGAAAAGCTCCAGAGAGAGGGAATTAGAGCAGATCAGCCCCTGCTCTGCTGAGCTAGTACATTCCACAAGGTCAGCAGCCAGCTGGCCAGGGGAGAGCTTTGCTGGAGAGAAGCTGACACTTCCAGAGGTGTTCAAATAGGATTCCCCACACTGGGCAAACAATGAACCCCTGTTATGAACACCACTGCTCCACTCACATGAATGTTACAGATTAATTTATCTGAATTTTTCGAGTGCTAGATGTCTAAAGCTCTTGTGAGCTGCATACTAAGATCTATCATCTTTTTTATCCATGAAGGTAGAAATGACAGAAGCTCAGATCAAAGGGAAATGTTTGTTTGAAGATAAGTGGGTCTCTGTATAAATATGGATCCTCTGAGCATGCAAGGAGTTAATTGCAAAGAAGTAATAAAAAAATTAAGGGCCTCTTGTGCAGCCAGCTGATGTGTAAATTCTATTTACCTGAGAAAATCTATAATGATGTTTGCCATTTTAATTGATTTAAGAGAAATGCGGTCTGCATTTTTGTAATGAATGTTCCCAGACTTTCAGTGGAAGTAGGCTTTAAAAGAGATGCAAATGACAACCTATTTAATGGCTGTGCGCAGAAACAGAAGCTGCCCTCTTTGCACTGAAGATGTGTGAGAGTGTGAGATCTGCAGCTCCAGAATGAGGCACTCAAAGCAACCCAAAATAATCAGTACCATCATGCCCCGAGACGAGGATGAAATAGTAAATGAGAGGCAAATTTTGAGCACTGGTGAGCCTGTGAGAACATATCACAAATGACTAGTTAATTTAAATGCTCATATATAATACTAATTACCATTGCTATTAGCTGTCCCCGTGCATACATTTTGCATTCTCACTGCAGTGATATCTGTGAAGGGTTAACAATAATCAGATGTGGAGTACAGGTAATAACAGAGACCCTCTCATCTGCTGCAGACATCCAGGAATGGATCTGCAGCTTTATCTCAAGCTGAGGATCTTGACTCCATCCTTTAGGGAGCAAAATTATATGACGTTTCTCTGTCATCTGCTGAGTATCTATTGGGAATGAACACATGCTTGTAACATCTAATTATAATCTATGTGTTGAACTGGGCTGCATTTCTATTGCTCCACAAGAGCAGTCTCCAAAGAAATCGTAAGTATGATCAGCTCTTATTCTTTTTTGGACCCAATGTGTGAGAAGCTAAACATTGGGAACTGTGACAGAAGGAGTGCCCAGTGACGCCCATTGTTGAGGTGATTTGGCAGTGAGCGCAATGTGTGACACTTAACATGTCCGAGTGCTTTGCTGTCCTCACACTTCTCTTCGCTTGGTGTTTCACAAACTGCTTACGTTGAAACACAGAAAATTTTGTATGGAAGCATGCTGTTGTAGTCCCTGAATTTAGGGGATGTCTGGAGAAAAGGCAGACAAGCCTGATCCTGAGTGTAACCTTGGACCTGTGCTGCACAGATGGATTAGGGATGGTTGTCGAGTCCAGTGGTGTTATGGCACAGGACAGTCTATCAAGGTCTCATGTGTTGAGGTACCTTAAAATTGTCATGTTGTGCTGTGTGTAAGCTCCCCTCACGTTCTCATTTGTATCCCAGGCCTGCCTTAGTTTTCTAGCAGTTGCTTTGAGTGCCAAGCTACACCCCAGTCCAGCTTGAAAAGCGCCTTCATTTCACTTGAGGGACAAAGGAGTCCGTTAAGTTATACTAGTGAAAAGCCGAAACTGGAACCAATTATGCCTATTGCTTCCTCAAGGGTCTGAACCATAGAAATGTATTTTACAGAAATACTTTTAAATGGTTCTTAAGAAAGCAGACCACAGTCTCATATGCATTATGAGCAAGTTCTGTAAGCTACTAGATCCAAGAGCATGTAATTTTAGTAAAGCTTACTTTTTGAAGTATGTAATCCAGCGAGGAGGGCGAATGAATTATTTAAAACCTAATAGTCATAATTATGAAGAACTAAATTAGCATTACAATTTCTATGTCAAATCTACATGCTGATGAAGAATGGAAAGATGTTGTCTAAGAAGGGTAGAGCTTTTCATAAGGAGTACTTTTCTACAGTAGAAAGGCTAATGTATCAAATGGCATCTACTTACAGGATTTTAATAAAATAATGAAGGATATTGGTGTCCAAATCAACAGCTCTGGAGAAAGAGGACTATTTGCCTACCATGAATATGGCAAAAACAGCAGCTGAAGTTCGTCCACCGATGTAGGCCAATCCCTGTTCTTCACGAAAAGCCCTTTGGGCAAAAGGACTAGTTTGACACAAGCAAGAACGCTTTTGGGCATGGAAGTTTCCTTGTGAGGTTCATATACACCCCTCAATAACTCAACTAGAAATACTGATTCATTTCACAGTTGGGGATTAAGTAATGGAATTATTTTTAACCATTATTAACAGCAGCTGCTTTGCCTAAAGATTAGGCTCCATGTTGTCAAAGGCGTTAAAGGTAACACATCCCATTTCAAATCTCTTTTGTGCTATTCAATTCAGGTATCTCAGGTCTTTCAGTAATCAATATTTTGAGCTGTATTTTTGGTGTCCCCTCCCCTGCCCCATGCCTCCCCACTTCTCACATATTTCAAAGAGGATGCAGTAACAAAAGTATAAGCTTAGATCCATTTCATAAAATGCTCTTTGAAGAACAAA